TTTATACGTAGTTAGGATCATGTACGTGCTCAAGCAGCTACGTTAAGGGAAGTGAAAGACCTATAATATAATGCGATAAGGAACACTTTTGTCCACTTTTGTTTACATGTTCGGCAACTCATTAACCTTTTTTAAGAAATTATTTCTCAAACTAATTTACAAGACTGTCTTCCACTTGTCATTAGCCTTACTGTCAAATTTTTCGAAAGTCGTGTCTGGAAACTTTCTAATTTTTCTACTTTTGGTCCATTAAGGCTTGTCGACTTAACACTGTCTTCTCTCCACTATTGTCTTCTTCATATTTGTTTCAATTAATATAGACAAAAATAAGGGCATCTGAAAATCATTTATCTTTCTCCTCCTTTCATACTCTACTCTCTAGTTTGTACCATCTACCCCTGTAAGAAAAAATCACGCACATCATTACAACAAAAAATAATAATGTTATTAAGATAAACTTTGATTGTAGTTTTGTTTGACAAATTAAGTGAAAAGAATTAAACATCATCTTTTAACCAAGAATATAATGTCTCTAGATAGAAACTTAAAGACTAGGCTTCCACTGATAATTGAAAGACAGATTCTTGAAAAACATTAAGTAGAAAGCTAAATAAGGATTTGGTCCTATTCCCTCAAATCTCACATAACCTTAATCATCCTAGTTTCAGAATTTATCCACCTACAATCTCTACTGAAATGTCACTAAAACCACTAAACATAAAAGAAGTCCTTTTGCAACCAAATATAAGTTCGGTATTTTTTTACAACGGTGGCGTCTAACTCAGCTAGTGTGCACCTCAATTATTCTACTATCTTCCACCAGCACAGATACGGAATTACTTTCATCATGAGTGAACAACTCAGGCTGAAGCTTGTGTCTACAAACAGGACAAAATGGCTGCTTGGACAGCCAAAGATCAAGGCATACGAGGTGGAATCCATGGTTGCAACCAGGAACCAACCTAGCAAGTTCTTCATTTTCAATCAAATCCAAGCAAATTGCACAATCAGTGCCAGAACTCAAATCTTTTCCAGTGAATTTAGGGAGTTTTTCAAGCTGCACATCAGAAAGTCCTCCTTTTCGGGCGGATTTCACAGGCCGAGAAGGGTGGTCACCACTAGTTGTTCTTGAAACTACGTAGAGGTAGAAGAAGAAGAGGAAAACCATGAATACGAAAGGTAAACAAAACAGTAGGTACAAAGAGACAGGCATTTTTTTAAAAGGAAAATGGTGGAGTGAATTCCAAAAACTTGTTTAAATTTGTAAAGGGGCTCTCAGAATTTGGAGTGTTGTTTGATCAGAAATGTGTTGGCACTTGGTTCTTGATGAAGTGGCCTAGATGTGTCTTTTTCTTGAATTACGAGGTATAACGGCTGCAGCATTGGGAAATTGGAAGACAAAATAGAAAGAGGACAAAAATTGTTGTTGCTAGTATTACCAATAGCAGTATTATTGCCAAACAGTAGTATTTGAAACTATTTGTTTTTTACTAGGTGAGGAAATATTTACAAGAAAAAAATTTATGGACACCAAGTTCAAAATAGCAGTAATAGTTACTGGAATTCTTGTTCCCTTCACCACGGAAAGGAAAGTATCCAAGTATCTGAGATTGTCTAGGGAGGATGAAATTGAACCAATTGCACCAGTAAGGAATTAAGTACTTTAGATGAATCAACATCACACTATTTCATCGGGGAAATCGTCTCCTACATAAGATGTACCCAAAGTCTAACAATTTAAGAAGATACTCCCTCCCTCACATTTTAATTATCGCTTTAGTTCTTTTCACGTCCATTAAGAAAACAATAAGTATAAGGTATAGTTTCCTAAGTTACTCCTAATAAATGCTTTTTGAGAATTGAGTAGTATTAAAAAGAACCACTATTTAAAAATAATTAACAAATTTAATTTTGAATTCCTAAAGTGACAATTAGTTTGGAATAAAATTTTTGAGCTAAAGCGATAATTAAAATGAGACGGAGGAAGTACTTATAGTAATAAATTAGACATCACAATGGAAGTTTGGGAAGAAATAACTAGGTGCAAACAAGAAAGAGAGCAAACAAGTGAACCTGAAAGCTTTGACAGGAGAGAGTGACTCTTTTTCGAGCAAATGCACAGCCGTTATTGTTCTTAGAAGCATAGTAAATCTTAGGATTTGAAGAGAAAAAATAATGGGGATCCGCTTCAAGATCCTAAGGATTAGAAAGACAACAGAATTTTTTTTTCTTCGGCTTTTCCCCCACAGAATTCATGTGCTAGATTATAAAGACAGCTTCTTTTTATCCCGCCATTTAATTTCTTTTGGCAATTACAACTATATCAACCATCAAATTAAATAATCAGCTGCTACATCATCCAATCTCTTTCCTCCAATTACTTGACAAAACTCCTTCGACAACCTTAGTCAGCTTAGTAACTGGAATTTCCTTGCCCTCGTGGAATGCTAAATAAGAAACTAAAGCATTATTTCAACCAATCTGGTAAGTGCTGGTTACTGAAGTATAATATATCAAAAAGCTGGTTTGAATCAATACCAATATTTGAACTCAAACCGTCTACAGATATTATCCAACATTATTGTGTCTTCTCCCTTTTAGCTAGTAAATCCAGCTATCAAAAGAGCAAATAGAGGAAGTCCTTGACATGTTTCTGCTATATCTCTTTCCACTTAAACCAACTCTGAGGGAATATCAGGGTTTGGCTTGCAAAACCAAACTTATGTAATCGACTTGTTAACATGATTCTACTTGATTGATTTGGGATGCTCATTGCCTTCATCTGGAATTATCTTCCTGCCTTCTTGACTAATAAGTTTAACCTCCTGAATGATCTTGCCTAATGCGGGGGCTGAGTTGAATTTGAACTGAATTCAGAATCCACTCCCTCTTCTAGGCCAAATAGCACACAAGAAATATTCCTAAGCTCAGAACACTATCTCCTCAATATCATAGATCCGGCAACAAATTCCTCAGTAAGATAAAGCTTTTAAGACTGCAATGTAATTACTTGATTCTTCTGCCTCATGAGGCTCGACTTTAGGTTAGGGATCGCACAAACTTGAGATGAATTGCATTGCCAGATCTTCAACATTCGTGTTTTCCACCAAACACCTGAAAGAGAGACGTGTTTTTTTCTTCTGAAAAGAGAGACATGTTTACGTTGTCTGCTGCTTCTCTCGCACGAGTCAAGAAACAGTTGGATTTGTCTTTGCTCCGTGGAACCCCCTTCTCATCAAACCAACGGAATCCGTTAGAAATTTTAGATGGCCTTAAGGACTCCAATCTGTCCCCTGATTGAAGCTCTCATATCAGCTTTGCAGTCTAAAACAACGCCAGATTGTCTATGAAGGACTTGACAATGCCACCACTAGTCGATAATGTCCAGATTGTCTATGAAGGACTTGATAATGCCACCACTATTCGATAACTTAGGGTGGACGGATGAAGATTTTCCCTTTTGGACAATTTTTTAAAAGATATTGCATTTTTGGGACAGTTGGTCAAGTTGGAAGGGTCTCATCCTGGACATAGACTTCTCTCATTCTCTGATTGAAAAGCTCGTTGCTTCAGATATTACAATATGTTTTCATATTTTTTAATCAAGAATTAATGTTATTGCTCAAAGCGTTTCTTGCAATTCAGCAACCAATAAAGAGAGTGAAGCTTCGCTCCAACTTGCTTTGATACATTTCACGAGATGCTTTCACACGTAATAAAGAAATTTCTCTTGCGAAGCCCTTAAAAGGAAGATTTTAGATGCTATTGGATATACTCTTAGGATACCTTATGGAGGACTTGAGGATTTGAATTCATACTAACTAGAGCTTCCCTAGAACCGTAGCAGAAACTATAGTTAGCTAGTAGACCAACAGGTTAGATCTGGAAGGAAGAGGTGGTAGGAAACGGCACACTTGTTAGCTTCTACACAGTTCTATAGCTGCATATACACTTTGTTTAACCAGCCAGCAAGCTACATCTATCATTCAAGGTTGGCACTTACAACTGGAAAAAGGTGAGAACTCTGAAAAGCATTTTGGATTATAAGATATCATTCAAGGTGTTGCTATCATTACACACAAGGTGAGCGTGGCCCCCGTGGAGGACAAGATGCGGGAAGCAAGACTCAGATGGTTCGGGCACATTCAGAGGAGGAGCACTGATGCACCAGTGAGGAGGCGTGAGCACTGATGCACCAGTGAGGAGGCGTGAGCACGAGGTTGTGGTGGGCACGAGGAGAGGTAGAGGGCGACCTAAGAAGTATTGGGGAGAGGTGATCAAACAGGACTTGGCGCGATTTAGGATTACTGAAGACATGGCCCTTGACAGGGAATTGTGCAGGTCGAGCATTAAGGTTATGGGGAAGTTATGAATATTTATACAACGCATTAGCGTGACACTAGCCAATTAGGAGTTAGTCTTTGGCTGCTACTGGTCATCTACTGATGTAGGGCTTTATCTGCTGATTATTATTATGTCATCCATTTATTTCGTATTTCTTATATTACTGTTATTTTATTATGAGTCTATTGATGATACTAATATATCGTCTCTTGTTGCCTTCTTGAGCCGAGAGTCTCCTGGAAACAACCCCTCGGGGTAGGGGTAAGGTCTGCGTACATATTACCCTCCTCAGACCCCACTTGTAGGATTATACTGGGCTGTTGTGGTTGTTGCTATCCTCAGAAGCTAAGAAATAAGGCACCCTGTCTAGAGGAAGATAACAGAAGTGAAATAAAGACATTACTAAATCAGTAGACCAGAAAAAATAATTATTTTTTTCTGCATCCCAAAACAGACTCTGTTTTCTTTGCAAAATTACTATAACATGCTCATCATATTACCACCAAAAAGTACCATTCAAGTAATCTATATACGAAAAACTCAGCCTGGGGCTAATTCAGGGGTAAACAAACAAAATGGAGACTACTCCACATCAACATTCCATGAAATGACACATGGAGAGTTAGAAAGATTAGCATGGAGGGGAGATCCACCGAAGCAACAAAAGCAATGAGCAACAACTAAGATACTTCAAAAACAAAGCCACAGCAACATTCTCGTCCATTTAGATGACAAATAAGTTCTGCAATAGCTGACTTACGATTTAAACTCCTACATCATGGAAAATGGTAAAAAGTACGCCAAAACACAGATAAATGTAAAACAAAACTTATGCAGATCCGGACTAAGCATGTATCCATCAAAACCTCCCGCCAAGCTGAACCATCTACATGCTTACAACTTGTCCTCAAACTCAGACAGAGGAGTCACTGCCTGCTTCAAACCCTTCCTCTTGCGGATATCAAGGACGAGTTGATGAGCTTGTGTACCAGCGTCCAATGGATCGGATGACATCATGTCCCAATGATCGAACACACATTGTGGGAAAGCTTGACCGGAAGTAGCTGCCCTCAAGGTACCTGAGAATCCAAAAGACTCGATGACAGGAAGGTATGCCTTAATGTTGTAAAGAGGGGTCCCTGGCCTCTGCATCTCCTCGAACACATGTCCACGCTTCTGGTTCAGAACACCATAAATGCCACCAAGGGCTTGCTCTGGAGCCTGAATCTCCACAAGGTAAACCGGCTCCAACAGGCGAGGCTTGGCAGTAAGCTGAGAAGCATAGATAACCCTCCTAGCAGTGGGAATAACTTGGCCACCACCCCTGTGAATAGCATCAGCATGAAGAACGACATCACAGACTTCAAAGCAAATACCTCTCATGTTCTCTTCAGCCAATGCACCTTCCTTGGAAGCCCACTGGAAACCAGCAACAACAGAATCCTTAATTTCATTCAGGTACTGAACTCCCTTACACATATCCACCACCATGTTGGGACCAGTTGTCTCTGGACCAAAGCACCAAATTTTCTTTGCAAGATCCTTGTCCCAACCAAACTCCTCAGACAAGATCTTGGAACGAACTTTGGGATCATCCCTAGGGCCAATGCGTCCATCGTCAATAGCCTCAGCAAGCCCTTCCTCCATGGGTCTAGCTTCCATGTACAAACGGTTATGCTTGTTAGGGGACTTGCTCATCACAGTCCGACAAGACTTCTCAAGTACAGTCTCACGGAAGGACACAACAGGATCAGACACTATAATCTCAGCACCACCCATGAAATCATCCTGCAAGTCCTTCAAGCAGATCTCAAGGTGGAGTTCTCCAGCACCAGCAATGATATGCTCTCCAGACTCTTCAATAGAACAAAGAACCATAGGATCAGACTTAGCCAGACGCTTCAACCCTTCAACAAGCTTGGGAAGATCAGATGCAAGCTTGCACTGAACAGCAACACGCACAACTGGTGAGACAGAAAACTTCATTGCCCTGATTGGATGGGCCTCGACTTCCTTCTCATTGGTCAATGTTGCATTCTTGGTAATAAATTGATCCAGACCGACCATAGCAACAGTGTTACCACAGGGGACATCCTCAACAGTTTCTTGCTTCTTACCCATCCAAATAACAGTTCTTTGCACATTCTTAACATACAAATCCTTCTTTTCACCAGGTACATAGTTGGGACCCATGATTCTGACCTTCATGCCAGTACAAACCTTACCAGCAAACACACGACCAAAAGCAAAGAATCTACCCTTGTCTGATGCTGGAATCATTTTGGATACATAAAGCATAAGTGGCCCTTCTGGGTCACAGTTCCTGATGGCATTGGCATATTGATCATCAAGAGGTCCCTCGTACAGGTTTTCCACACGGTATCTTTGAGCTGTGGAAGGAGATGGCAGATGAAAGATCATCATTTCCAGAAGAGCAGTACTTGCAGGAAGCCAGGTCTGCATCACACGCTTCATTAGTGCTTTGCCCATCAACTCTTTCTCCTCAGATTTCATGGTTACACCAAGCTTCTGCAACATCGGCCAGAGCTTATCTTTTTGATCGTTCATGCAAGTGTTAATAATCTGCTTGATTGGCTCATAACAAAATTGAACAAACCCACGCTTGCATGTAGCAGACCCTGTGTTTTTGGTGGTCCACTTTTTAGTGGCAGGGTCAAAGAAGTTCTCACCCCACAGCCTTTCCATCATCTTAGACTCGTCAACTCCAAACTTGGAAGCATACATCTTGGCAAAGTTGGTGAGAGTGAAAGCCCATCCATGCAATCCAGCAGAGAAAGCAACAGTACCTTTCTCGGGATAGACCTGGACATCACCGAGAAGGGGATCCTCATATGTAGCCATGATAACATTAGCATTCTCAATAACCCTGGAAAATGTCTGATAAGCCTCCTCTCCATCAACCTGAAGCTCAAGGAAACACCTGTCCATCTTGTTAACCGTCAAGACAGGGCGAATCCTTTCACCGAGGGCCTGACGGAGCACAGTCTCTGTCTGGACACAGACACCTTCTACACAGTCAACCACAACAAGTGCACCATCAGTAATACGAAGGGCAGCAGTCACTTCAGATGAGAAGTCAACGTGCCCAGGTGAATCAATGAGGTTGATGAGGTACTCGTTCCCATTTCTCTCTCCCTTGAAGTTCTTCAAGGATTCATCAGTCATCTGATAATATAGTGAAATACCAGTGGACTTGATGGTGATACCACGCTCAGCTTCATCTGCACGTGTATCTGTCATTCTGACATCACCTGCGACTTCCTGAGCAATAATACCAGCAGCCGCCACCAGAGAGTCGGTAAGGGTAGATTTTCCTGTCAGATTAAAGATAATCAGGTAACTGGAACAAGAGATGGTATGCTATTACCGATACTGCAAATCTGTTCTATGGACGGAAAGGAAAACTGGAGAAGAAAACTAATGAAATAACATTAAACAAAATTGTACTACCCAAAAAATATATAATGTGATGTTAATGTCAAGATTCACTCCAGGTGATGACTGGGAATCACAATAACGTTTCTCTTAGTAGATATGAACAAAAAAAATTCAAGAAAAGCTATAATTAAGCAACATCATCAGAATTATTTCAGTTGCTTACCATGGTCCACATGAGCAATAACAGACATATTACGAATGTTATGCTTGTAGTCCATAATGTTTCTAAGCTCTTCAGCTGTGAACTTCACCATCTTGAATACTTGTTAACTGTAACAGCTACAGAATTATTTATGTTCCTGACATTTGAAACCACAACACAAAATTAGACTAACCAAAAAGATCCACTCGAAAAGATCCAAACAGAAGAACAGGTAGAACTAACACATCTCATATGCATGAAGGTTACAAAATTATTATTATTAGGTAGAATACAAACAGACAAATTTGACAAATTCAGTGTAGACTGAAAATTCAAGTTCATTTATATGTATAAAAAGAAAATTAAAAAAAATGGTTACACGATAAAAAAAAACACCATTCCACTAAAAGACAGCTCCATGCATCAGAGTGATCAAAACAAAATAAAAAAAGCTAATGGGCGAGATACATACAGAACAAAAATAACACATCATACTTGCATGAAGCCTATAAAACCACACAGAGCTGAAACAGACAGTCTTTGGTCAAATACAGCCACTAGTAGTCCATCATGCTTGCATGAAGCCTATAAAACCACACAGAGCTGAAACAGACAGTCTTTGGTCAAATACAGCCACTAGTAGTCCATCATGCTTGCATGAAGCCTATAAAACCACACAGAGCTGAAACAGACAGTCTATTATTCACGTTTTTGGTCAAATACAACCACTAGTAGTCCATCATGCTTGCAAAACATGCAAACTAGCTAAACACAGTCTTATAGCATATATATCCATAACAGATATCATCAACAATCGAAAAACTCAATTTTAACACAAACACAGACATGTATACACACAGACACATATATAAACATGTATCTACACAAACACATATATATAGCATATATATCCATAACAGATATCATCAACAATCGAGAAACTCAATTTTAACACAAACACAGACATGTATATACACAGACACACACACAGACACACACACACACACACACACATATATATATATATATATATATATATATATATATATATATATATATATATATACATACATATATATATATATATCAGGAAATCATCAGAAATGAAAAAACTCTATCACAAGTTTATCCGAGAAAAAGAGAACTTCCATAGTATTAAATGAACTCAATACCAAACCAAACATCAAACAAATTACACATCCTAAAATGTAACACTGAATCCATAAGCTTCCAACTTACGAACGTAAAACTAAAAGCATCACATGAAAAACAACATGAACAGAACTGCAAATAAACAGCAGATCTAAGCTAGATCTAGATATACCAACCTATCAAAAGCACTACAATAAGATTCATAAAGACAATTCAATACAGATATTGAATTTAGCAGAGAATAGCGAAATCGCAACACAGATCAAACAATAATCGTGAAAAAATGGAGAATAGGAAAGAATTGTACAAATCTTAGTCAGAAAGAGAGAGAAAGTAGAGTCTTACTGAGTATAGAGAGAAGTAGGCGGCGATTATTGTGATTGAGAGACCTTACAATTCTGCCGCTATGATAAGCTGAGGTTTCGCATTGTGCGATGGTATATACCGTCTTTATGGGCCGCAGCTGAAGAGCCAGCATTTTGGGCCACGTTACAATGTGAATGGGCCTTTAGTCGGTCCATTTGAACTTTTTGATTGGCCCATGGTCCAAGCAAGAGAAACTCATATTAATCTAGAAGAGTTAACCTAAATACTTGTCCATCAAACCACTTAAAATTAAAAATAGTCCGTAGATGTATAGTATATGTATAATTTATATGTATAATTATGTACAATCAGTATATAATATATGTATAGCAGTTAAAGTAAATAATAGATCCAGACGCTTATTTGTGTAAAGATCCGATTAATCTATCTATCTCGAAGATACGAAAAGAGAGAGGCTTGAACTCTCGGTAAACAAAAATCTATATTGCAGCTCCAATGCTTATCTATACTGTTATAAAAAAGGAAAACTACCAACTATATCTCCCCATAAGCAACTTATTATAAAAATTGATCCATTCATAAAATATTATTAATACTAGCCAAATATTACCAATATTAGCCAATTAGCTATTTGTAGCAAAAAAAAAATGTTTGGCTTTCTTTGGGATGGATGTTGTTGGAATAGATTGGGTACATCTTAAAAAATTTGAATCTCGGCTTTGGGATGATTTGGTTGAGCTTTGAGGTTATTTGAATTAAAATTTCGAAGTAGAAGATGAACATGAAAAAAGATGATATGTGTATCACATTGTGTATCATTTATATATCACATATGTATCATATTTGCATCAAATGCGTATCACATGTATATCCATGTATACCTGTGTGAGAGATGCATGTGTATTGCATGCTTGATACATGTGTTGAAGAAGAATTTTTTAAATTCGATTTTAACTACAAATTTTTATACCAAACCAGTCCAAACCATCTCCAATCTTGCTCAATTTTTATATACTGCATCATCTATATGTTTTTAACGGATTCCAATCATACCCATAAAAATTCTTTTTTACCTAATTTTTTTAATATTGTATGTCATCAATAATGAATTTTGATTCCAAACTAGTCTAATTCATCTTCAAACTCGTCAAATTTTGTATATTGCTTAATCTATGTATTTTTAATGAATCACAATAATGCCCACTAAAATAAAAAATAAAAAATTGCCTATATTTTTTGAATGTTGTATATTATTGATATTTTTTTTGGCTATTTTTAGGGTGTTTGGATTGGCTTATTTTAAGTGCTTATTGGCTTTTAAGTATTTTTTTTTAATTTTTGTGGTATTTGATAATGATAAAAATACTTAAAATGCTTACTTTTAAGCATGAAAAGTACAAAAATAAGGCAAAAGTTGGGTATTACTAACTTATGATTTTTGACTTTTAGCTTATAAGCTACTTTCTAAAAGCCAATCCAAACACCTTTTTGTAGCATAACTAAAATGGCTAGTTGTTGCTAAATAATGCCTTTTTTAGTACATCAATAATAGTGCATTTTTTAATAAGGCAGTAGTGCTCTTTGTAAGATTTTCTTATAAAAATGTTGTAATGATCATCAATAATTAATGAGAATTTTCATTCATTTGCATTTTCTTGTCTTTATGGCCAAATTATTCTTACTTTTATTAGAAAATAATATTTGTTGATGTGTTTGATACTTGGTTATACTAATAAATGGAGTGATATTTTTTATCTTCTAATTTTTTGCTCTCTTCAATCTAATTTTATAGCTATTTACTTATCTTTGATTCTATCTCTATCATTGTTTGTTACTTTCAACTTAGAGATTTTTTCCTACCTACACAATATTTGAAATTTATTTATCAAAATTATCCTAATTTTGTATATTACCCGTATTAAATATGAATTACTTACAAATTATATATAATCCATTATTAGCGCCTTAAATTAGGAAATTTAATTACATCTTTTTCATATTTTCTCTCCACCCCTCTTTCCCCATTCTCTACGACCTCTCTCTGTCTAAAACTCCATTAATTAAGTGCCAAAATATGTGGGCGGTGAATTCAATCACCGCAGCTTCTCCATAACCCCCCAGCCTCCTCCCAACCTTTAAACCACCATGGATACTACATGAGAGCTCCCTGAAACAAGTACCATAAGCCAACTTTTCTACCAAAACACATCATCGAAGCAGCCTAATAAACCAAGAAATTAAAGAGTCCTTTTAGCTAACTTATCGATCTACAAGGCCTCGGTCGAGGTCGCTTGCGAGTTCTCTGTTCTGGGTCTTCGTTCATTTCTAACAAGAGGTTGTGATCATCGTTGTGGTTGTCCAGTCAAAGGCTCCGGTCGGGTTTCAATTTTCTATGTTTCATTATGTTTTCCGACTAGAGTTCATTGCTGGATTTTCTTGTCTTGCAGTTTTCGAAAAGAGCATAGAGAGAGTACTGAATAATTTGGTGATTAATAACAACAGAATTTTTCGAAGAGCGATTAAAATTCCTGAGGAGAACTAAACTAAAAATAATTTTATACAGCTAATTGTATAGTATACTGTTGGGAATAAACCCCGAAAAAATAGTATTCACAGTATTAGTGATAAACGCAGAACACTAAGTTATGGTTAAATCAGCAAGAATAGAAATGCAGCAATAATGACACCAAGATTTTACGTGGAAACCCTTTTTGAATAAGGAAAAAAACCACGGCCAAGAAGAGCAACTGATATCACTATAACGAGGAATTTTACATTGCGTAGTAACGAGTAAAAAATACTCCTAAGACCACTACACCCTCAAAAGAAATAAACATTCTTTTGCTTTTTCCACCTCACTACAATATCTCTCACACTCTATTTTTCTTCACAAACTATTTTCTTATAGTTTATGGAATACCTTGCTCTCTCTTTTCTCTCTTTGTTGGTGTGTAGAAATGAGAGTTAAAGCTCTCCTTTTATAGCCAAAACCTCACTCTCTAAAGCCTACAATATTTGACAATTTACACACCCTTTTCACAATTTCAACAAGGTTGGCTACCAAACCAAACCAAGTCAATAAAATTGGCTACCAAATTATACAAATTCAACAAGGTTGGCTACCAAACCAAACCAAGTCAACAAAATTGGCTACCAAATCATTTGAATGAGATGGACACCATATCAATCTCCCCCTCCAGTCTCATTCATCTAGAGGAGGTAGCATTATCTTCTAGTTTGAGTGCATGCCGACAAGTTCTTTGCATAGCTCGAACTTGTCTCTTGGTACCACCTTGGTCAACATATCTGCAGGATTTTCACTCGTGTGAATCTTTTTGACTTGAAGTGATTCGTTCTCCACTTGCTCACGAATCCAATGATATCTGACGTCAATGTGTTTTGTTCTCGCATGGTACATGGAGTTTTTGCTCAGGTCTATTGCACTCTGATTGTCGCAATAGAAAACATACTCCATCTGTCGCAATCCAAGTTCTTGAAGAAATCTCTTTAGCCATATCATCTCTTTGCCAGCTTCAGTAGCCGCAATATACTCCGCTTCAGTTGTAGATAGTGC